ATATGGATTTTAATGTTTGATACTAACATGTTTTATATTTGTTATCTTGTTTACTCTTTAATATTTTGTTTGTTAGATAATTTAATCTAAATTTATGTTGTATAACACATAGTACAACAAATACTTGGCACTTTCATAGCTCATATTGTATGGTATAACCAACACCTAAGTTATGAAAAGAACTTGATTTGTTGTTAACATAAGTTATAATCATGAATGTCTGACAATATTTACAAGTATTAGTATTATTCAAATAAAATAACTAATGTAATCATGTTAACAATTTATAATCTGATTGGAACCTTTTTTGTATGTGGTTTCCAATTGAATAATATACTTGTTTGACATACCATTAGTGAATCCTCTAGCCTTGACATTTATTGTTATCATTGTTTAATTCTTACATTAATTTTTCATCTCAAAGTTCTCATCAACTTTATTATTATTATTATTATTATTACTACTACTACTACTACTACTACTACTACTATTATTATTGTTACTATTGTTATTGTTATTGTTATTGTTGTATTATTGTTACTACTACAAGTCTTGTCAGGTTATCTATTATTTCGATATTCTTGCACTTGGGAGAAGACTTTAATTTTTTGATCATGTCAATAGTATGAAAAGTAGGAACGAGGTTGAGAGGTATTTGATTGATGGTTGTAATGATCTTGATAATGATAAGCTAGATATTTTAGGTTGGTGGAAGAGTAATGCTTTGAAATATAAAAACACTTTTGAAGGTTGCATAACATGTTCTAGCTATTTTTATATCCACAATGGCTTCTATATCAACCTTTAACATAGACAGTCGTATACTCGATCAATTTCAAAGTTTTTTATCTCTAGCAACATTTCAAGCATTTATTTGTTGTCAAAACTAGTTGTATCACGAACCACTTCCAACTAATATTAAAACCTTGATAAATGATTTTGAAACCTATAAAAACATTGAGTTAGGTAATTTTTCTTATAAACTTGTACCTTTTATTTTATGATTCATTAATTAACGCATTTTCAATATAACATGTTCAATTTTTTATTCTATAAAATTTGGTGGAAAGTTATATCTAGCAACAGATGATAATTAGTTCAAAAATTGGGGCATTTATTAAAACCTATGTAAAAATACTACTTTTTATTTTTATATCTTCTAATTTAATTTATCATGTTATAATTCTATATTTTAAATTCCAGGTTTTGGTTGATCTTGATAATGATAAGCTAGATATTTTAGGTTGGTGGAAGAGTAATGCTTTGAAATATAAAAACACTTTTGAAGGTTGCATAACATGTTCTAGCTATTTTTATATCCACAATGGCTTCTATATCAACCTTTAACATAGACAGTCGTATACTCGATCAATTTCAAAGTTTTTTATCTCTAGCAACATTTCAAGCATTTATTTGTTGTCAAAACTAGTTGTATCACGAACCACTTCCAACTAATATTAAAACCTTGATAAATGATTTTGAAACCTATAAAAACATTGAGTTAGGTAATTTTTCTTATAAACTTGTACCTTTTATTTTATGATTCATTAATTAACGCATTTTCAATATAACATGTTCAATTTTTTATTCTATAAAATTTGGTGGAAAGTTATATCTAGCAACAGATGATAATTAGTTCAAAAATTGGGGCATTTATTAAAACCTATGTAAAAATACTACTTTTTATTTTTATATCTTCTAATTTAATTTATCATGTTATAATTCTATATTTTAAATTCCAGGTTTTGGTGCTAGTATTATTAAGAAATTAAAGTGCAATATTCTTGATGTGCTTTTTGACTAGGATGATGTGTATGATGAAAATTTATTTTTATTTGTCATGAAATGTTTTATAACAAGGTTATTTGTTGTTTCTTTTGATTGAAGGCAATGTTTTTTAATTTGAATTTTAACTTAGTGTGTATTATTTAAACTCTGCTTATGTAAGGAGTCTTGCTCACTCAAACAAATCAAAAAAAAAAAATATTAGGAAGGCTTGCAACATATTGAACATTTAATTTAATATAAATGAATATTTAGTATTAGGAAGGCTTACAACATATTGAACATAATATTTACATTTAATTTAATATAAATGAATATTTAGTGGAAAAAAATAAATATATTCTAGAATCTTGTAATAAAATTAGACAATATTAACATGAATTACAAGTCTATCTAAAGTCTATTATAAAGTCCAATAAAAGCCCAAAACATAATATAGATTTTTTTTAACATAAAATAACCAAACTAAAATAAATTGAAATAGGTTGATTGGAACTGATTTAGGTTGAATTTTTTTAAAAAAAAATTAATTTCATTATTTTTATAGGTAAAAATCAAACTAATATGAAAATGATTACTTCTAATTTGTCCATAATATGAAAAAAAAATTGTAAATTCATGTGATTGTTTTACTTAGAAGAAAAATTCAATGAAGTTGGCATTATTTTTTTGGTGGGAGAAAGAGAGTTCTTTAATTTTTCTTATTTTTTATAATGATTTTGGTAAGTATAATTGTGTGTGCAATATTTGATCAAATTTGTATCATTGTGTTTTGTTTATTTTTACTTTGTAGGATTAGTTGTTTTGATATATTGTTTAGATGTTTATCTAAACTTAAACTTATTTGATTTGGTGAACTTAGTCACTAAAATTTTGTTGGGTCAACCAAGATTTACTGATTAATATTATATTTAATTTAATTAAAAATTTATGATGAGTTAAGCTTTGGATTTCATATTTTCCAAATAAACCCATATAGATTGATCCATGTTTAACCATCATGATCGAAGGAGTATACAGTTTTTATTTTTTATTTAGAACTTTGAATTCATATTAAAATAATAATTAAAAACACAATTGAAATCATATTTTTTTAAATAATTTTATTTATTTAATATTTTCATGTTTTTAAATTATTTTAATATACTGATATTAAAAATAATTTTTAAAAAATAAAAAATAATTTAAATTATAAATATTATCACACAGCCAAACACCTTCAAATTTAACATGGCCTGAATCTGTGGTTGGGATTGGAAAGGTGAGGGACCGCTACATCTACAGAGTAAATGAAACTGAAATATGTCTGCTGGCATTCTGCCTCTAGCAAGAAGGGCATAACCTTCCTATGAAAGCAGTTTGTGGGTCTAACAAAAGAACAAAAGACAGTATAGTGACATACCACAAGTTATCAACCAACCATCAACTTTGATTCTAAGGATGAAGCCCTATACCATCTTGCAGAATCAAAGATCCTTGCACTGTGTCATTATTGAAAAGAACATTAATTAAGGAAGCACCTAACCCTTTCAAAATGCTTCAACTCACCAACTTGACAATGTTACTAGAAAAACGAGAGAAAAAAATATATTTTAGCGATGGGATATTGCTGCAATTAGAAATGCAAGTCTCTAAGGCAGGAGATACTTTTTGTCAAGAGGAGGCATGGCACGGATGTTGATATCAATAGGAAATAAACGGTATTGAATGTCAAGCTCACTGAATATTTTCACCATCTCTTCTAGCAGAAGAGCTCTTCTTTTGGTTTTCTCTGCCATGTCTTGATGGTTCATTCTATGCCTAATCCAAACTGCTACCATCATCTTGTTCAAATCTACTACTTCCTTGAATACAAATGAAGGATCAGGATACCAGTGCTCTTTCTTGCCCTCAATGTAACTGCATTAGCATTCAAGAGAGGAAGAGATTGTTAGAAAAAGGATGGTTTTCTTGATGGTAACAAATGGAATGAAACTTAACCCTGTTATTCTCTGCTTCAACTTGATGGTAACAAATGGAATGATTTTACTTATTGAAACTTAACCCTGTTATTCTCTGCTTCATAAGAGCAACTTTTTCGGCTGGAGTGCATATGTGGATGTGGAATTCAACTGAATCGCCCATGTCAGGACTGCGATAGTAATTGCCGATTGGTTTGGTTGCAAGAACACTATTAGGATACAAGACTTTCTGATTGTCAGCTCTTAGGAAGAAAGTTGTTAGAATGTTCATCTCCTCCACTATCAGCTGAAACACAATGAACATTAAGCTATATTGTAACACAGTATCATAAAATAAAAGAAATTGTGCAGATCTACACAGACAAAGAAATGGAGCCTGAACTCGATGTGTACCTGGACTCCATCTATCTCACACCTATCTCCGACGTCAAATGGATGGATAACGAACAAGAAGATAATTGACTCGAACAATGTCTTGGCAGTATTTCCAAAAACAAAGGACACAACAAGAACCTGTGATCCTAGAAGCACAAAGAACTTGCTCTTGGCAATTCCAAGTATGACTAGGGAGATTACAACTATAACAATGCCAACTATTGCGTTTATCATCTGATGGAGCTTGTTCACAGCAGTCTTTGTATCATTCAACGTTAGAGCGAGTGCCCTTCTTTCCCTAAAGGCATTGACCTGCGAAAATGGGGATTACATTGTAGATCTTATAACTTTAGTACAACCTTAGGGATGAGTAGAAGGATTCCAACCGAGACCTCACCACCCAGTTCTTCAGGGATGATTTACCGATTCTGCTGGTTTCAGATGCTTCTTCAAAGAAACTCATTGTCTTCAAAGCTTGATCTTCTTCCAAAAAGCGCATCAAATCCTGCAAGTAGATGAACCTGCCAAACAAAATAATCTATAATCTTTGAGAAGATTGAAAATATAGCACGTCAGTCAAGCAAATAAGAATTTCGTCCTATTAAAACTGTCATTGTGCTTAAGAATGAAACAAAAAATATGGAAATCGCCCAAAAAAATAATCGAAATTGTATGATAATGTCAAATCATTTAAACGATGAGATTCGATTATCAATATGAGGTGATGAGCTGCTCACTTTGATCCATGGCGAGCCACATTATTAAAAATTTTTCTTGCTGCAACTTTCGCCTCGTTTTCGCTTCTGATATGTGTCGTGGATTCGTCCTCAGTAGCAGCACCTAGTATCTGCTCATCCAAAGTGGACAGTGAGCCATGCCGCACAATTTTCATCAACCTCTTCATATTCCAAGCTGAAATATTCTTGGTATTAAGTTTATGTAAGTGGTCAATTGTGATCCCATCATCCGCTTCTTTCTCCCCCTTTTGTGAAAGTTTTCCGGAAAATTTAAAGCTTTTTGCTGTGAAAGTTTTCTGTATTACTCTATTGGGATTCAACCTCCCACTCTTAGCTGGTGGGAAGACAGATTCCTTGAGTTCTGCAGGCATTGTAACCCCAGCATTCTGCAGCTTGCGGACCTCAGCAGCAATCCTCTCTACATCATCTTCAGCTTTTTGTATTTCAATCAATGGTGGACCTGATAATGCTTCTATCACAAACTGATTGAAGAGTGACTCCTGAATTCTGTCAAAATAAGTGCTAACATGGAAAGAAGAAGCAAGCACCTTAACCATCAAAGTCTTAATCAACCATATGAAATTCCCCACCAAAAAACAAACCAAGATTTTAGTAAAATATTCGAGAAAGTCACTTTTGGTATCCCTTTGAACCTTCTTATCAAATAAGAAGTGCCATGCCAACAAAACAAGCCCTAACCACCAACAATTCTGCACTCCCTTTCTCAATCCATACACAAAATACAAAACCCTCTTCCGCAACAAAAAATTTCTTTCAATGAAAAACACTATCAAATGAATCCCCCATCCCGAAACCAACCTTCCACATATCAAAACCAGCAACAAAACTTCCCATTTCCATAACTCAAGGTTCAAAATCTTCACTTTCTTTAAATCACGAATAGAAAGACTACACACCAGGGCAGCTAAAATCACAATCAAACTCAACCATTGGAGGACAGTCAATGTACTTAACTTTTCCTTCTTGTACTCTTCCGGTAAGTCCACATCCTCTAATGGATCCTCATCATCCTCATCATACAACACCCTACTTAACATCCCGGATCTCATTGGCCCAGACTTTGGTATCCTCCCTGACATTCTCTCCAATTCCTGTGGCGAAGGGTCATCTATAAGTCTTGATTTTGTTTTCAATCTTGACAGTGGATTGGCATGTCTCCGAAAGGATGCATTCGACGAGCACTTCAAAACTTCTTCGCGTTCCAGTTCTTGTTTTCGTTGATGAGAATTGACTGGACCGTCCTCCTTGCATCGCCTTCTGACAGATTCGAGTGCACCATTAAGGCTGCCTCCGGAGAGAGACGGTTCGAAGGACACACGAATTTCTCTAGAGGATGGCTTAGTCGGTGGTGATTCTGGGAAGGAAGGCAGGTGTCTTCCACGTGATGATCCTCGGTCACCTTTTAGTTCATCCATTTCCATGTCCATGTCCAATGTAATCTCGCCGCCACCAAAGGTTTTCTGATTTTCCAAGAACTGACCGATCAGCCTCGAAGGCGGGTCTTGCATCACGTCCTGTTGTCCATTTTGCGAAAAACCAAAACTTGGTGCTCTGTCAACCTTAACAACATCAGTAGAACTGTCTTCTGAGAAGGAATTTCCATTGTCAACCTTGACAATGACCTCATTATGGTAATTTGAACCCATTGACGTTCGTTGTTGATTGTCATATGGAATATCTGATTGATGGTGGTGGAGAATGGGCAGCTCTTCAGGGCTGATGCTATAATTATTGTCCCCCCCTCCGCCACCAGAGAATCTCCTAATGTGTTTAAAAGAACTATTGCCTTTGAATGATTTCTTAAGAGAGAAATCCATCTTCTGTTTTCCTTAGAAAGCTGATCAAAATTATTTGTGTTTTTGTGAGAAATATTTTCTGTGTACACGTATACAACGTGAAAGTGTCCGCTTGTTTTCTTGGATAGTTTTCTCAGGTGAGTTTGTTAAACGGGATGTTGGGAACCTAAAAGAAGAGAGAGAGAGAGAGAGAGCGCGAGCGAGAGCTTGCGAACAACAGAATCACAAGTGGCATGGAAAACGAAAGATAGGAAAGAGAATTGCGTGATTAGGTTTGAAGATCATATAGGACTTCCAAAAAAAAAAAAAATGGCACACCGTCAAGTGAATTAAGGATAAAACCCTCTTGTTCTTATGGTCGGTCCAAGAGTTTAAAAGCATAGACAGAACTTAGGTTAATACAAATATTATAAGACCTTCATGGCTCTATTAAAAATAACAATTAGGTGCTTTAGTTATAGTTTTAGATGAAACTCCAGAAATGGTGAAGTGAAAGCACTCTGTAAATGAAAGTTATTTTGAATTGAAACTTAGACCCGCTGTCGTTCTTTGCGTTAAGATTGAAATTTATCATCATTGTTTTAAAATATAGAGGCTTGGGGATAAATCTGGAACTTAATTAATTTAGGATTTAAATTGATTAGTTGAAGAAACAATTAAAAAAAAGGAAAAAACTAGCTAATTAAGTTAAAAATCTAAGTTTACCGGGTGACTTAAACCAATTAAAACCCGGCTATCAACTTGTTAACATTAAAATTTTTTTATTTTTTATTTGAATAATGTTATTTTAATTTTTTTAAGTTGATTCTTTTACTTTATTTTATATTGAATTTTAAAACTATATTTCTAACTGCTTGATTATTAAGAAAAAATATTTCACTTCAAAATATTAAATTATTAAAAATATAGTTTTATATCATCTTTTAACCAATGGTTTATGTTTTGAATTCAAGACAATAAGGTAGGGGAAAAAATCTATAATTATATCACTGGAATGTAAATAATTTTATAGATAATGAGCGGAGGAATTTTATGGTGCAAATAAACCTTGCCATGTAACAGACTCTTTTGTTTTGGCAAGCTTAATTCCAGCACAGTAGATTTCATCGAAACACTGAATAATCTAATAGGTCATATAGATGGTGAAACTATTAGTATATTGTATGGGTATGAAAACAAATAAAGAATAAAATTGATTGGTTTAGAGGAATAAAAATATTATTTTCAAGGTATTTATTTATTTCATATAGAAACAATATTTTTAAAATATAACTAAACCCTATAAACCTCTATATATGTGTGTGTTTTTTTTTAATACATGTTTTCTATGCAGTAAAGATTTATATAGATTTGAAACATTATAATAAAACCATATAAATGTTAATGAAACTACATGATTGCTAATAAAATAATTATATTTTGAATTAAACTGAATAACTGCGTTTCAATTTTATTCTAGCAATTACAAATATCAAAATTAATTATAAAAATTAAAAAAAATTAATTAAAAAATTAATCTCATTAACAAATTAAATCTTAAGTACTTAAGTGTCAAGTATAATCTTTCCGACATAATAAAAATCTACATAATAGAATTAGAAAGCCCATTAAAAATGTTTATTCAGGATTTCATTTAATTTACTACATAATAGAAACTCATACTTATAAAGATTTTGGTATAAGTGTTTTTTTTTTAATGTGAAATATAAATATTATTTTTATTTATTAACTTGCAAATTACACCAATAATTTTCCATTAGTTTGTAATGGAAATCTTTTGACTTAATAGAATTATGCCTACAAGAAGGCATTTTACAATTTAAATCTTCAATTAGTGTCAAAACTTGAATCTTACTAAAGTTATTGGTGTCCACAGATTAAACTACGACTTTTATTATAAAATCAAAGATACTACACACACAATACTATCCAAATTCTTTTAGAAGTTTATAATTGTTTAACATTTATAGTGATTATGTTCTAAAATCTCATTTTCATGAATATCTACAAGAGAAACTCCAACTCTTTTCAAAAGTGACAACATGGTCTATATTTATATAAGTAGAATTATACATGTTTCTATATATATATATATATTAAACATGAATTTTAAATTTCATTGAGAGCTTACGCTCATCATCCTGTACACAATAAAATACACTGAATACTATTAAAATAAAATCTAAAATTAATTATTAGTGTTCAACATATATTAAACAATAACTTGTTCTTACTCCTTAAACTCATAAATAAGCTTCTTTCTAATCTAAAGTTGGGTTTTCATTATTATTATCTTTAATAATGGGTTTCAACCTTATTCTAATAGTTGTTTTCTTACTATTTTTCTAGATAGTTTTTTTATGAGTGGATTCGTTTATTCACACACTTTAAATAAATAATTGTGATTACCCCATTTGTAATCAACTCTTGAATATATCCATGTCAAATACCTATATATCTTAATTTATCATTGTAAATATTATTGTAAGCTTTATACATGGTTGCTTCATTATCATAATATAAAGAAATAATTGACATAGTTTATGGTCATAACTTAATATCTAACAATAGATTTCTTATCCATTATTCTTCTTTACCCTCATCGACCAGAACAATAAATTCTAATTTTATGGTAGAGTGAGATATACACATTTGTTTTGTAGATATCAAAGACATTATACCTCTTCCAAATAAAGAAATCCATACTAATATGAACTTATTATCACTCGAATTAGTTATCCAACTTGCATCACAATATCCTTTTAACACAACTAGAAAATCATAATAAAACAAATCAAAATCAATCATTCTTTTGAGATAAAACCAAAAACTTTTGCAATAGCCTTTGACTGATTTGTATTCAACTTGCTTATATATCTTGATAACCTATATATAACAAAAGTTATATCTAATCTTGTATAATACATAACGCACATAAAGCTTTCAATGACAAAAACATATTTTAATTGTATTACCATTTTATCATAATTATCATTTAACTTTATATTAGAGTCAAATAGATTATTAATCTCTTTTATATTGAGATACTTAAACTTATCAAGTATTTTCTTCATATAATATGACTGATTAAGTGTATAACCACTACTATGTTTCTTAACTTTGATATCTAAAATTGTATCCATTTCACTAAGATCTTTTATTTTAAAATATAAATAGGATACCTTTTGGTTTCAACTATTCCAATCATATTGGTAATATTACCATGTTATCTACGTAAAAGCAAATAATCACACTAAAGTTTTTTGTAAATTTGAAATAAATACACTTATTAGCACCATTATAATGAAAACCATTTAACAAAATTATCTTGTCAAACTTCTCGTATCATTATTTCAAAGCTTGCTTTAAATCATATAAAAACTTTACTAATTTATCGATTTTTCTTCTCAATTTCATGAAGTATAAAACTCTTAGATTTCTCTATGTATATTTCCTCCTTTAAATCTCTATTTAAGAAAGTTATCTTAACATCCATTTGATGAATATATAATTTATAAATTAATGCTAAAATAAACAAAACTCTAATGGATGTACTTCTTGCCACTGTAGAATAAATGTTGAAATAATTTAAACTTTTTTTTTTGGGAAAAGCTTTTAGCAACTAATCTTGCCTTGAAGGTTTGTATAAAACCATTAGTATTCTATTTTCTTCTAAACATATACTTACATCCTAATGTCATAGAAGCTGAAAATAAATCTATTATGACCCAAGTATTGTTAGATAATATCGAATCCATTTCATTATTTATCGCTTCTTTTCAAAAGACAATATCTTTATAAGACATAACTTTACAAAATATCTTTGGATTATCTTTCACATTTCGTATGTGTCCTTTTCAATACTGTATTTTTATCACCTTTCACTGCAACTACAATTACATCATTAGAAATAGAATATGCATCTTTTTCTTTCTAAATATTTGACTCTTTTTAGATTCATTTAAACCTATTACTTTTGGATTTTTATTTTTTGCACTTAAAGTTAAGTTGAGAGTTGTCATTGTTAGATTTGGTTTTTACATATTTGAATCACTTGTAAATTTATTGTCGATAAATTCAACATGTATAAATTCAACTATCATATTAGTTTCTAAGTGCAAAAACTTATAAGCTTCTAAATTTTATGTATAACAAAAAAAAGCACTTTTAAGACCTTTAGGTTTTAATTTTGTTTTTTAAAGATTAAAAACTTTATAAAAAGCTACACACCTCCAAACTTTAAAATAATTCTTATTAACAGTCATATAGTTTTATCATCATGTTGCAGGTCTATATAAACTTGTTACCACGCAAAGAAAAAAGATATACAAAAACGTTATTTTTCTTTCCTTAGTCTTTTTTTATTTATTATTTAGTTTTATCCCACCATTGATAAATATCAAAATTAATCAAAAAATTAATAAAAATAAACTTTTTAAAAAATTAATCTTGGTATAAAATTAAGTTTCAACTACCCACATTCCAAAAGTCATCTTTTAATATTATAAAAATTTATATAATAGCATCAAAAAATTCATTAGAAAAACCTACCAACCATAACTTTGACTTAATTTGTTATAAAAAAATTTCTATAAACATTTAAAAGATTTTTTTTTTAATATAGAATACAAAACTTTTCATTCTTTATTCACTTGAAAATTACACCAATAGAAATTGCTAAGAGAGCGACATTGATAGGTTTATTTCAATTACCAATCATGTTTATAGTTATGATTTTTGGATTTTTATCTCTCTTTTCATTCTCGTACTCGCGATTTCTAAAGTTTATGGCAAAATCTAATTAATACGTAATAAGCATGATAATAATAAACCCTTAGATCATCTATCAAAACTTGCAATAACACCATTAATACATCCTAATTGATATAGTATTAATCTTTTAAGCTTCATTCAACTTGCAATTACCACCCAATTTTAATCAATGGTGACTCTTTTTTTTTTTAAAAAAAAAAACCCTTTAGTCCAGGATGTTTGAAATAAAACTGCACAATACTTTTCAAAATAACTTTTTACTTAAAAATATATTAAAAAAAATTTAAGATATTTTTTATTTTTATTAGAATATCAAAATCATAAAAAATCAATAATAAATAATAATTTAATATATTTTTTAAAAATATTTTTAAAGCATCTTAAAGTAAGAATAATAACGATGCCTAACACTGTAGAATCGACATATTTTATGAGAAAATAAAAAATATCAAAAACCAAAAGAAATATCTTTGAGATATTTGTTGTAATAGCCTTGCCGGAACAATTATTTGATATAATGCTAAGAATATGTTTCGAAGTGTGGTTGTGATTTTTTTTTAAATGTTTTTTTACTTAAAAATACATCAAAATAATATTTTTTTATTTTAAAACAATTATTTTTAATATAAATATATTAAAATTATTTAAAAATATATATAAAAATATTAATTTGAAGTAAAGAAAAAAATAAAATAAATTTAATTTTTTGTAAAAATATTTTTAAAATATAAAAACAAATAGGGTATTAGATTGCAATTGCAATAGAAAATCAATGGTGTAATTGAAACTTACAGTAAACAACAACAACAATAATATTAAAAATTATCTCGTTTGGAGGAAAATAAAAATAATAATGGAAACCGCTCTCTCCATCAATAGAAAGCCAGAACTTGCAGGATTCTACCCGACTCAACCCATTCCGATTCACCAAGTCATCAACTTGCTAGGTTGGTTGCCATTAATGTGCAACAACCATTTGCTATTGCACCAACCATGTGCACTCATCCAAGATGTCAAAGGTTGGCAGCCACCATTGTTGAAGAAGAGTTGGAGTTGGCAGCCACCTTTGTTGAAGAAAAGCCTCCATGAATGCCTATAAATAGAAGCATGTGTTAGAGAGCAAAATGAGAGTGAAGAGAATTATGAAAATGTGAAGAGAGTAGAGAGGAAGAGAGAGCTGCAATGGCAGCA